GTAACTCCTGGTCAATTGAGGATAAAATCCAACTGTAGTAGGAGACAGACGGACGAGGAGACTGAAGATGCGGCTAGAGGCACACGTAGTGACTCAAACCTGATTGGTAGAACAGGCACACGCAGGAAAGGGCGGCATAAAGACGAGTGTCCATTCTCTGAAGATGGGTAGACGAGTAAACTAGCCGATACGTCAGGCTTGTAATAAACCTCTCCCGGTGAACGCTCCTCTTTCTTCTGATTTACCATCCGGGAGCCGAATTTTCAGCACTATTACTCCAACTCTGTGCATGCATTATCGGCAACGTCCTCGTACATACACATTAATAATCGAGAATTTTTTGGAAAAAATAGTTTTACGAAGTCTCACTGGTTAACTATGACAAGGTGGAAATAATAAAACGCCTTTCGGAAGTTTCCTCTTAAAAGGCCTCGTCACATTAAAGATGAAGTTACTTTCCTCCACGCAATCTGCAGCACGTTCGTTTAACAGAAGCAGTATTAAAACATTCATGACACAATGGGTTTTAATGCGAGAGTGCTTGAAAATGCTGCTTCTTCTACCTTGTTGGGGATCAAATAAGTGCCGAGTGAATATCATAATTGTGCGCTGTTCTCTGAACTGCTTATGAAATTCAAAATAAATTGAAGCTTTTATTGCAAAACTTCAGCCGGCATTTCATACAAGAAGCATTTTCTTGTATCCTGATGAGGGGCACTACTGTGAACCGCATAAAAGCTGTTCAAAAAAATTTATATTCTAAATTTGGAGGTGTCGGATAAAGATAATTTATTGTATTAATGAAATGGAGCTAAACTCTTTAAAAATAAAAGTTAAGCAGCTGAAGAAAGTATTCTTTCCGTTTTCTTTCGTACCAGTTCTCGGGGTTATTAAATTATTAGCAAGGTAGGCAGTTTGAATTGTTTTCGAATTTATTAGTCTGGTATCGTGGTATTGTGGATAATAATCTCGACATTGGGGTTTGATTAAGGTCCTCTGCTTGACTATGGGGCACTCTGCATTGTGACACACGTCAGAAGCGTTTGTTTAGCGATACTCCATTTGGTCCCTCTCTTCAACTAACATGTACACTATTCGTCTGACTGTCGAATTGGCAGGGCAATTAGTTACAAGAGTAAGAGAATTTTTTAATCGAACTGACCTGTTTTGTCACCCAACCGCGATCCTAGTTTTGTCCAGTTCGCGCTTTATAATTGCAACTGCATTCAGCGCAAGGAAGGCAGTAGGTAAAACCTGACTGCTCTATTGAGTCCAATGTGACCCTAAAGAGCATGGTTTGAATGCGCATTGTAAGATACGGGATGTTTTGTTTTCCATGGATAAAACCCGATGTTTTGGTATGCATATGTTGACGATACGTTTGAAATCATAAGTAGTCATACTGTGTGCGTATTCCTTAATTTGTTTAACTCCGTCCTTCCCAAAATAGGATTCCCAGTGTCACAGTTACCAGAACGGATACTGTCATGCGGTGACGCACCTGTTAGCCTTCAAACGCCTATAGCAAGACTTAAAACGCAACACAGACTGATAGTATTGCCGGAAAAGGCAAGGGAGACTGAAATGGCATTTCTGGCTTACCAGCCAGCCAGACAGACATATGAGTTCCGTTGGCGGTCAAGTGAACGTTCATTAACGACTGTCAATATCCCCTGACCTAAACCAGTGAGACAACGAACTCGTGGCTCAATGATTAGGGCGTTTGACCCTGATCAAAAGGATTGCGAGTTCGAGGCTCGGGTGGGGTACCACTTGGGTCTGGGTATGACTGACTGACTGATGAAGGCTAATGAACCAGAAATAGCCACTACAGTCTCTCTTGTCTTTGCCGGCAATAATATCTGCCTATACTACCAGCTTTTACGGCTGTCAGGGCATCTGTCAGGGCCCAAGGCAGAGCGGGACAGGCGAATTCCGTAAGCGGTCAGGTGAACGTTCATCAACGAGTGACAACATAAACTGTCAGAACAATTCTCGCAGTTCAGCCATCGTCAGCGACGATGTTCGCCGTGTGTCCCATTGTGTGAATAATTTCATACTGAAGCAGAACTGTGTAGCAATTACCGAATTCTCCTCTTCTCACTTGTCTGGACCCATGGCAAGACCATCCGAGGCAAGCTCGTCTGTAGTGTGTTACAAACCTGAACGGCCCGTCTATGCGTGCCACGCACGACGTGGTTCCACCGCACAGTTTTCTAGGTTTTCACAGAAACAAGGCAACACAAATCTCATGTCACAGAGACCGCAGTAAGGGGGAACAATGAGCCTAATTATCAGCCCTCAAGCAAGCCAGCCCAAGTAAATGCACAGCAATGACCACGACGATCGAGTTATGCAGTCAGCT